CTTTACCGCGATGGAGGAGGAGGCGCGGGCGAATACTCATCTCAGCACCGTCGAAAGACATGTTTGAGCGCCGCATGATGACATTCCGCTCCTGAAAAGCCGTGAAGGTTTAGCGGCAGGTTGCAAGCGCACCAGAGGGATATCTGAGACACATCAACTGTATACCGATGGAAGATTAATTGGTTTCTGAGCATTGCTGACATTTTGGAGGCGATTGATGGAGGGCGGTAGAATGTGATGGCTATTCCATTAGTTACTAACCCTTCAATACGAATGCAAATCATGACTTCAATGTAGATCATTCCATGGCGCCAAAGAATCGACAACATTGATACTCACAACTGTCAACCGACACTTGATTGCGATTGGCGACAGTGACTGGCCCACCATCGACGCCAGTATAAGCAAATGAAGCTCATCACCACCGATAAGCTTCCGCACGATCCCGATGTACCAGATACCGAACACCGCCTCTCCATTGGCGCAGCGCAGCCTATCCGGGCAACCTGATTGCTCACACCGGCAGCCTACCACCATAGTTTAAGCAAATGCTGTTAAAAATGCATGTAAAGACATGAAACTCTATTGGGATTCGTATATCCGGCAGCGTCCGGATGGCGGCGTGGGGCGCAGCCTTTGCGCTGGCAGGGACTGGACGCTGCGATTACCGAACTTGGTTAGCCGTAATCCACTTTACGGCCGGTGATAAGGTGCTTGGTCGGCGCGTGCGAAGATACATAAGGCGGCGTTCCATCGCACGCCTCTTGCTTTGAACTGATGGTTTCGATGTTTGACAAGTTAGAATCGTCGCTCCGATCGGCGCGCTCAATCACCAATGGACAGATCCTAGACGACTCCGCTTTCTCTGCCAACCCGCATCCCATATTGGCGCCAAGTCTCAATATGAATACCTACGGCTCCACGGCATCAAGGCCCGCGGCATAAAGACCTGCGGCACTGAAGAAGGGGATAGACTGCAGCGAGGAAGGCACAAAGCCGTCGGGCAACGGACGAATACGGCAAATGGCGGCCTCATCACTGACGGCTAGGGCAAAGAGGCCTCGTCCTTAAAGCAGCAATTTAGCGAACCGAGTCTCGGTGCGGGGTACTCACACTGACGATACACATGGCTGGCAAGACACCTCGCTAACCGGCAGATTCCAGACTCAACATGATTTCGAGCGACGGATGAATCAACTGAGGACCGGAAGGAGATTGCACGGAGCTGTCATCACCGTCGGTTATCTCCCCTCGGTTGAACGCTTTCGAAGAATCTTGGTTGCCAACGGAAAAACATTAACAGTTGCTGGGTGCTCAAGATCCAGATTGCTATGGGACCAATGACAAGGGCTGGTGAGGCCATGCGAACAAAAATACCCAAGGATTGGGTTGGCGATAACCAGGAAAAATGTACATCCCTCGGCAGGGTGTTGTTCTCGGTTCTCCGCTCTGAGGAAGCGACCAGCATATTGACATTGCAACCAAGAGGTTCCAGACTGGAGCTAAACGAGCTGTGAATGGGGGCGGGAACTGAAGGAAGCACCTCAAGCTTGAATGTTGAGAACACATGCAGATGGATTCCCAGGACCAGACATACGCTCTCCAGGTTAGCATCAGCGCAGTAGGGCTGAATCTGTGCATTGCATGGATGGCATTCCTCAAGCTTTGTGCTCAAGACGGTCTCTTGAAGGGTTACGTGGGCTAACCGGGCAGTCGCAAGACCTGAAGCCCTTCTCAGTATCCTGTACACTGCAAGATGAAAAGGTGGTCATGGTTTCGTTCGCGTCGTAATGGAGTAGATCTTGCATTCAATGGATATTGTGGTTGATTGAATACGTCGCGTTCGTTCTAACACACTTCGGAGGATATTGCCCTCGCTTAGAACTAGTCCCTGGGGTTAGCGGGCGTTCTATTAACGGTTGACGGAGTGCTGCTGCACAAAATTAATTCTACTCTCACCGGGTCTTCTGAAGCCCGGGTAGAGAACTTTGATCACCATTCGACCAGTCTTCCAGGTGTGAACAACGGGAGAAATGCGGGAGAGTGCACAAGCTACTTCGCCATTGCGAGGCTGGATGCTGGTACAGTAAGCGGATTTGTGAAGATCGACAAATTCCCGACTGATGGACTGCGGTCGGAGAATGGAACGAACAAGGGCCCTAGGGCCAAGCCATGGTAAGAGGCCGGTAAAATGCAATGTTCCACGGGTTTGAAGGGCTATTTGCTCCTTCGGTGTAGTTCATGAACCAGATGAAGTCGATCTACGAAGATGTCCGCCACTGAAGAGCCTCCCCCACAGGATCGGAAGCGGAATTTCTTGTCCTCCGAATGTGGGTCATGGTGACGTACTGAAAGGCACGTCCGGCCGCAAGGCATCTTTACATTGATGAACTTCACACGAAACGTTCGGCCAGGAACGCGTCTTCTTCCATTGGAACTTTGTTTTACGTCTACCACGCCAGGCCATCCCTTCTGCCGTGGGAAGCTTAGCAGCCATGCCCTCTTCAATCCCGAGCCGCGTCCCGGTCTGTGGAAATGTACCTCAATACCCGACAGTGCAGCCCGGCCCACGCGGCCCCCAAACCGGTCTCTATTGGATCTCTCGTGCTTTACCGTCTCCCCTCACGCTCATGGTGCCTGAACCTCAGCTTCTAGGTCGTAAACAAGCCTGAACCCTGTATCGCCGCCCAAACGCATATTGGCCCTGTCCCAACAGAGTCCCAAGCGTTCATACTCCACGCCATGGGCGTGGTCATTCCCCGGAAACCGAATCCCACGCATAGACACATCGAGGTTGCAGCCCCAACGGCTGTTCGTCGGAGGCAGTCAAATCCGGCACATCGGGATTGTCCATGCAAGGATATCGCAGTTGGCGTGCCTGCCACGCGCTTGCCAAACCGTCAGCGTAGCGCCTCTTTGGCCGGATCTAGGCCAGAGCTTTCCCGAAGCGTGGGCTTCGCGGGGAAACTGTACGTGAATGTAACCAATTATTGACAGCGTTGGTTTGTATGTCACCCTTACCTGCAAGCTAATGTACCCAAGACGGTGCCTTTTTGCCCGTTGAATTAACGATACACCCGTACCAGACTTTTGACGTTCACCGTAGATCCTGGGCAACACACGTAAACGCATAGTGGGAATGTAGAGTGAAGGCTGAAGCGGTCGCTTATGTATACCAGCGCGATGGCCTCAGGGCTGTGGCCTCGACAGCCTCATTCGTTTCCCGCATCCGCCGCCTGTCGTTTGGCCATTGTCACGCAATGGTAGCCCTTTTGTCGCTCGTTGTCTGTTTGTCCTTCTTTTCGGCTGCTCTGGGGCGTGTCATAGTAAAGCGTAGGTCGCATCAGCGTCAAAATTGCTGGTTGCTGAAGTTGAATAGGTCAAGATGAGGTTGAGATATCAGCAACATTGTTGAATAAGCTCGAGTTGGTTTCACAATATGCGGCTGCTTCCTACTGTCCCGACAACTACGACTCCAACAAAGGCACCAAACTGCGATGTGCAACTGGAAACTGTCCCTTGGTTGAGCGTTCTGACACTCGCATCGTGTACGCGTTCAATGGGTATGTTCACCACTTGTTGTCTGTCAGCCGCCTGTTTTGGACTTTCCCGGTCTCGCTGTGATCCACTCGGAGTTGTACTGTTCGAGGCTGTGAGCCCTGGCCAAGGCCTCATCACCTTTGCCAAATCCGGCAATCTGGTCGCTCATCTACTTGCCATTGGCAAGCGGTTTCGCTTTGTGCTTATGTTTGCATGTGCGGTGATCGCTTCCGTAGGGAGTCAAGACTAATATGTGCCATAGGGGAGTATCTGACACCAGTGGCTTTGTAGCCATTGATCAGACGAACGCCTTAGTCGTCGTCTCATTCCGCGGCAGCGAGTCCTACCGCAATTATGCATCAGACATCAATATTCCCCTCGTATTAACCGACGTTTGTACCGGCTGCCTCTCTGGTGCTGGATGGTGGCTCGCGTGGAGGGAAGTGCGCGACAGCATCGCCGAAGCCGTGCGGTGGTCGATTGAGATGTATCCTGACCTCCTCGTCGTCGCAACCGGGCATTCGCTCGGTGGTGCTGTTGCCACACTTGCCGCGGCGGAGCTCCGCGATCGCGGCTTCATGACCGACCTGGTGAGTACGTTAATAATCTCCAAGCACGTGCCTGACCGAGCAGGTATCATATGGCGCGCCTCGCATCGGCAACGAGGCAATCTCCAACTACATCACGAAGCAGCCACGTGACTTCGGGCGCAACTACCGCGTCGTGCATCAAGGCGACCCGATCCCGGGTCTACCACACAACATCTTCGGCTACCGCCACATCGGGCCTGAGTACTACATCCTGAGCGACAACGAGAACCGACCCTCGCCGGATGATGTTGTTCGGCGGCCGAATGACGAGGACGGTGAGGGTATCCTTGGGACGAATTTGATCGATGGGTTTGCGGCGCATGACTTTTATTTCTCGAAGCTGCCGGTGTGCTATGATGGTGGAATTTTCATCCCTCTTAGGGCTGTTATGGAGGGGTTAGACGTGGATGCTACGGCTTCGCCGCTGGAAGAGGCGGTGGCGGCGGCGGCGGAGGGGTCGGATGCCGGGCTTGATATTTTGGCATAGGCGGCTGGGGAAATGTAATGACGGGCTGAATGAAAACCGAATGTAGTACGATACAGCGGAAGGGGTTCTCGGTTGCGGGCCGGTGCTGCTGCACGAGCGAGGCTACGCTGGTGGGTTAGGGGACCAAGAGGGCATGGAGGGGTGGATGGGAGATCAACTCTCTGCAAGTAAGAGTAATGCGACGGCAAGGCAAGGCAAGAAAGGCTTCTGATACCTATAGTTTACAATGTAAAGGAAATGAAGTGTACAATGTCTTTCCTCCTAATGCATGAAGGCCAGGGTGGGGGTAGATATCATCCTACCGGTCTAGGTTCTTTTTAGTTGCGAAGTCAAAAACAGTAGTCTGGTCATATGCACAATTTTTTGAACACTGAGCATCAATCGGCCGTGTGGCGTAATGGCAACGCGTCTGACTACGAATCAGGAGATTGCAGGTTCGACCCCTGCCTCGGTCATTCTCTTTTTGATTTTTACCGGTGGGCAGTAGGGCAAGATACGGTATCTTCTTTTTGCGCAAAGCTGCTCTTCGGAGAGACTCAGACGTTCGTCTTCCGGCCCTACAAGGCCTCAACTTAAGCTCCGACAAACCAGCTCATCCACGGCCCATCCGAGCAAACATATTACAACTATATTTATACGCCTTAAGCGATGCTACAATTCTTCTCACTCCCAAGCGCTCCCCGAATCCATAACATCCAACAAATCCGCATTTTTGACTCGACAGTCTACCATGCCTTCGCAGCCCAGCTCGCGCCGCACCCACTCGGTATCATTGTGCCCGCGCATCGTGGCGATTATGACGGCGGCTTCGTGGCACGACCGGTCGAGGCCCACGTCTGAGTCGGGCGTGGAGCAGTGCGTGCTGAGGGCTGGTGTTGGGGTTTGGGACTCGGAGAGGGGGTGAGGTGAGGGAAGGGTTCGAGGCTCGGAGAGGGGTTGGGAGAGGGTTGCAGTGAGGGCTGGGTATGGAGGGTGTGGGTGGTGGATGGAAGAGTCTGGGTGCTCGACAGGCTGGTAGTGCTCCAAAAGTAGGCGATTCCCGTCCGGCACGCTCAAGGGTTCGGCCTCCAGCGCGCCTGTCGCCACACCAGGCACTGCACTCCCCTCCCCATTCCCCTCCACAACCGGCCCCCTCTCCATTCTACCGCCTATCTCCCCACCACTTCCCCATCGCGCTCTCAGGAACTCCTCCACCTCGTTGGGCTCCACGCCTCGAAGGGTTAATAGTTCCCGTAGGAGGGTATTCTCCCGCGCAACCCTGCGCCCCGCACGCTGAATCTCGAGGCTAGCCTGCACGCCCGCGGCCTCAAGGGTTGCGAGCCGCTCCCGGAGGGCCGTGACGTATTCCCTGTGGCGCTCGCGGGAGCGGCGCTGATTTTCGCGGATGCGGGTTGCGGGGGGGATGGCTGATTTCTGAGTGAGTGAGCGTAAAAAGTTAGTGATGAGTCTGGATTGCTAGATTGAGAAGGGTGTAGGGCACTGGACGTACTTTTCTGGCCATGGAGGAGCGGCGAGGGCGGGAGTGACTGGGTTTGGGAAGAGTTTGATAGTGGTGAGGTCAGGAGACGGGGTGGCCAATCGGGGGGTTTGTGTGACAAGCGCGTTTGCACGATTTCACCTAACCCACGGAGGTTTGAGGGGTACGCGGGCCAGATAGGCGGGTAGATAGGCGCGATTAAAGTAGCGGCCCGGTTTTGGGCAGGAAGATCCAGAAAGTTGTGTTCTGGAACTAACTTACGGAAATTTGGACGAGGCTCGGCGCATCGTACCGTAGTAAGAGATCGTACGATCACATCCCGACATATGCAGGGCCTGTTCTCCAAGACCTCGTCGTCCACGACACTATTCAACAACCAGAAAGAAAAATGCTCCCTCCCATCACCCTCCTATCCATCTCGCTAACATAATTCGCCCTCGTCTTCCTCGCCGGCCTAACATGCGGCCCCATCCGCGTCTTCTCTCTCGAGCCCCGCCTCGGCCACCGCTGGGCCCAGATCCTCGAAATGTCGATCATGTTTGCCGCAATATTTATCTCGGCGCGGTACACCGCGGCACGGCTGCATTTTGCCGGGCGCGATAGAGAGAGAACATCGGCTTCTGTAGCAGACAGACTGTTTGTGGGTTTCACGGCACTGGGATTCATGCTTGCGGTGGAAATGCTGGGGACGGCGGCGACGAGGGGGTGGAAGGGCGTGGGTGCTTGGGTCACGGAGAGGGATCAAGTGGCGGGAACAATGTATTTTGGACTTTTAGGGGTGATGGCTGTATTGCCGACTTGGGTGCGTCATGGGGGAGGAGCGTGAGGCGATGTTGTGATGTTGGGCGCTTTCTACGGACGTAGAAGTCGGATCGAGCAAGGGGCGGTGGGCAAGGATTTTAAGGTTGGAAAGTATTTTGGGATGTCAGGGACAACACAAATCCTAGCACACTTCACATTCGACCACACAGTTCATCATCGATATGCCGTGACACAGTATCTCTCCCCGGTCTTTGGCATAAGCCGCGGGAAGCTCTTATCATGAAACCTAAGCTAAAGAGATGCTTACCGTACGACCTCATTCTTCTCCGAATATGGCGCGGAAGTGCAGTCCTTTCTCGCGATCGTAAGAGCATTCCAAACTGCCGTCCAGACTAACCATCTCGAAACAGCTCCAACGGTCAGCTGGGTAATTCGAAGCAGCACCGAAAGTAACGGGAAGAACCCATGATCCTCTGTGTTGTGTGATGCCATGTGCCAATCCGTTGGTGGTGGCTGGCTCGAAGCCAACGTCTGCTCCTGTCAGCCAAGACTGGTGAAGCAACGTCACCACACGCTCTCGCCGGTCCTTATCGACTTTTCATGTCTGCTCTCCTTCCTCTTGGGCTTCAGTAATGTCATCAATGGCATCAGAAACCTTTGAGTCTGGATTGCTTTGTTTTCAGAGGGTGTGAAGATGGTCGTCTCAGCCGGCGAACCCAGGATGCCTCCACCCTTCACCTTCACGAAGTATGGGATTGATGGGTCAACCTACCCCCCTCGTAAGTTTCAAACAACCTATTTCTAGCAGATTGATCTAGCCGATGCTCGGGGTTGCAACATCCCGGATCCTACACGTTCGGCTTCCTTCACTTCGTAGCCGAACCGTCGGCCGGCTCTGCTCCACTGTTGGTTGCCGACACAGCCCTTTCCAACCCAACTGCTAACATCGTGGCCCGGAGATGATAAACAGTGTATAAATCCCCCCTCCTCTTGGCCTCTGCACTTCACTTTTCAATCAGCATCACTCAACCAGCATACACTACACCATCCACCCATCCAACTCAACCCACCACCACCAAAAGAATGAAGTCCACCACCCCCCTCCCCATCCTCGCCCTCCTAGCTCTCCTCAGCACCGTCTCAGCCGGGCCCGTCCTCAAGCGCTCCACCCCCCTCATAATCGCCCTCGGGCCCGACCACCAGCCCCTGTCCCCAGGTTACCAGCCACACATGCCCATCGCCGCCCCAGACGCGCACAAGCACACCAAAACCCACATGCACAAGCACCACCACCCCTCCCCAACCCCCTGGCCCCACGGCCACCCCCCCAAGGGTGCCCCGCACCCCGGCTACGGCGAGCCTCCCAAGTACGCCCCGCACCCCGGCTACGGCAGCCCGGGCAAGCCCCAGCCTAAGAAGGGGGGGACTTCGACTGGCACCGTTACGGCAACTGAGAGTGCGACGGCGGTTGCGGCTACTGGGACTACGACGGCGGTTGCGGCTACTGGGACTACGACGGCTGCTGCGGCTGCGGGAACTACGACGGCGGCTGCGGCTACGGGGACTACGCCGACGGACTCGGCTACTGGGACTGCGACGACGGCTGCGCCGACTAAGGCTACGCCTGTTCCGATGGGGGCTGCGGGCGCGGCGGGGCCGGCTGGGAATGGGCCGGCTGCTGCTGCGACGACTGGTGCGGCGGCGACTGGGGCTGCGGCTGCTGGTGCTCAGGCGCCCGCTGCGGCAGCTCCGGCTGCTGCTGCGGCTCCGGTTGGTGCCGCCCCAGCCGGAAATGATGCGGGCGCACCTGCGCAGTAGGCCCAGACGTGTACGTCGGGGAACTGAGTGTTTTTGAGTCGGTGGTGGGAAGTGGTGCGAAATAGAGGGGAGAGAATCGCGGGCGTTTTGGTTATATCATGAGAAATTTAATGTTGGTTGGCTTACACTCGCTATGGCTGTTGGATGAAGAGGTTTCATGTTCTACTCTCGCTCGCTATGTTTGACTTCATAAGGATTGTCTTTTACACACTATGCAACATGAGATTTGGGAACTGAATTGATTATGCATGCTTTTGGCCAGTTGACAAAGATCGTATCATGTGCTTTCAGTAACGAGTCGTTCTGCCTCCACACGTCATGCCACGTGCCCTATGGCTCGAGACCCACATATTTCGAAATCTTCAAGTACTTCGCCCGGCCAAAAGGATACATCTGCAAGCAAAGAGAGCAAAAAGGAAACTCGTCTTGATTCTGCCCGGGCTCGAACCGGGGACCACTTGTGTCCAGATATCTCTAGGAGATGTTAGACAAGTGTGATAACCAGCTACACCACAGAACCAATTTGATGGAACGCTTTGCTGTCTCAGGCTTCAAGTCATCGGTTCTTCTCCAGGGCTTCAGGCGGCCTCACTGCAGTGCTAACATGCAATGTGCACCGGCGAAGCTACAAGTAAGTACATTCATTGAGTCCTATGCAATATTAACCACCTTCTACAGGTCTCCCGACTATTCAACACCATCGTCGATGCTCCGACAGTACTGGTAAATCGGATGGATGACGAATATGCGCTCCCAATTCGGCTGGCCCGTATTCTCCGTTCCCAACAGATCCACCTTGCGCCCACCTCAGATCTTGCCACATATCCTGCGCATGGTACTCTCCGGAGACCAGAACGGAACCAGAATCGTACGCTTGATGTGAAGGGCCAAGAGGTTCGGATACACCGGACACACCATTTCTCGCTGCTTCGAGTCTCCGCTCTCGTCGGTGCCGCCAGAACAAATAAGCGAGGACGCCCAGGGCGATGGCGCCAAGCGGAACGCCGACACCGGCACCGATCGGAACGGCGGAATCTGGTGCTTTGGATGCCGCTTCAGATGGCTCGGAGTTGTGTTTTGGTCCGGTTGAGTTCCCTGACGTAATGGGCAAAACGGGTACAGAAGTGGCTATGGGTGATAATGATGATGATACCGAAGCTTTTGGCCCGGAAGTCCATGTTGCGACACCGACGACGGTTAGTGTTGTGGGAGTGCCTATTCAGGTTAAACCGGTAAATTCAGAAGAAGGGAAATATACCGGGAAATACAACAACGTCCTCATTGTTCTTGCAGTTGCTGGCATTTCCCACTTTGTTAAGACAGTAGTACATGTCTTCCGTTGTGTACGCGCATTTGATCAGGTTCTGAATGTCATTGCGCGGGTCCCCGTTCGCGGTC